GCAGAGGGAGCGATGGGGGTGGGATGACGGGGGAGGCTGAAGAAGAGATTTGGGGTAAGGCAAGGCTGAGGGCAGTGGGTTGGGGGGAGCAGGGGGTCTGGGGGAGGCTGTTGGAACGGGGGCAGGGACTGAGGGCAGTGGGTTCGGGGTGGGAGGTCCAGGGGGGACTGAGAGGGAGGCTGAGGGAACAGGGTCAGGGTGGGGGCTGAGGGCAGTGGGTTGGGTCTACACTGGCCCCTCTCAGCATTGCTGTGCCGGGTGGCAGACCTGTGCCAGCGCTACACTGGCGATGGAAGAGTCCTCAGTGGAAATGCAGACTTCATGACACAGACCCTCCTCATCACTTCAAACCTGGTGCTGCTCTGGGCAGTCGCTAGGCGCTTGTCACTTTCAAACCCATGCAGGGGATCTGGCTCTTTTTCAGTTCTCAGGTTAAGAAAAGCCTCTGCATTTTGTGAGGGCTTCAGCATTCACATTCCTACTTTACAAACTGTCTGCCTGACACATCGCTCCCAGGGTATTCATCTTTATTCATTGTCGGCAGGTCCATCAGATTAACGAGCAACACAGGGGGAAGCAACACAATGGTGTCAAGGATTTTTAATTTTTCAAATCACTTTGGCCTCAACAGGGATAACAGCAAATCTGGACAGAGCAGATGGGTGTCAGGATGGGTTTGGGTATTTATTTATTTATTTTTTTAAGTGAAAATGTTTGGGTCTGAGCAAAGGCTGCAAACTTCCCTTTGGAAAGGGGCTAATGACAGCCTGGAATCTGGGACAGATTTCCACATCCATGCAGGGTGAGATGATCGGGGAAGGGGAGGGACTGTGGGGGAGGCTGAGGGAACAGGGTTGGGGGGCTGAGGGCAGTGGATTGAGGGTGGGGGGCACAGGGGAGACTGCGGGGGAGGCTGAGGGAACAGGGGTAGGGACTGAGGGCAGTGGATTGAGGGTGGGGTCACGGGGGAGACACTGCAGGGGAGGCTGAGGGAACAGGATCAGGGTGGGGGCTGAGGGCAGTGGGTCTGAGGAGAGCCCTCCCCCCCCCCAGAGGGACCTGCCAGGGGGCCAGGTGAGCCCAGCAGTGCTTACCTGGAGCGGCTCCCAGGAAGCATCCAGCAGGCAGGTCCCTCCCAGTCCCTCTGGCCCCTTCCTAGGGTCAGGTCGAGGGGAGGGGGGCGGGGGGGCTCTCTGCCCGGCACCCGCTGCCGGAGTCTACAAGCCCCGCCCCACTGCAGCACGCAGGGGAGCGAGACCTCCTCGCTGTCTCTCTGCGTGCCCGGGGCAGGGCTGCGCTCTGTGGGCTCCTGCCGGCCAGGCGGGGGGCCCCGTGGGCTGGCGCCATCGCGCCGGGAGCTCAGCTGCGCACTGCCCCAGGGAGGAAAGGTGAGTGGCGCCGGCGGTGCCGGCTTGCCGCGGTCCCCCTCATATAGGGTGACCAGACGTCCCAACCAATGTAGGGTCAGGACGCGGGACAAGTCCCCTAAAATCAGGACTGTCCCGATAATACCAGGACGTCTGGTCACCCTAGGCCAGGCACGTCTCGCAGCCTCAGGGCAGCCCCTCCAACCCCCCCACACCGGCACTGGGGCCTGTGGGTAGATTTCACCCAGCCGGTCCCTGTCCCGGTCTCACCACGGAGCCCCCCGAGACCATCCCCAGCCGGACACACCGGACCTAGTGATCACTGGGCCCTTACACCAAAAATCACCCCGCGTCCAGCCCCCAGAGCCCGGGCACGGCCCCCAGAGCGGCTGGACCCCCAGAGCCGACACCGAACACAACCCCGTAGCCGATCCCGGAGTAAACGGTGTAAAGCTTCGTTCACTAGCCAGGGGACGATCTGGAGCGCTGACCAGCCGTGTCCCCTCAGGTCTCCGATGCGGGGTGCTGTTCACACTGCTTTGCTGGGAGACCAGCCGCTCCTGAATCGCCCTGCAGAGTAACCAGCAAACTCCCCGTCCCAGATGTGCCCCGGAAACGTGCCTTGTCCTGCCCGGCCCTCTCCTGGGGAACACGAGCTCATACGCGGCCTGTTTATTAACAGAAAACGAGGTGCGCCGATCTGCTTATCTCAAACAGAGCTCCCCACACAGCTCAATCCAAACACACCGGCTTTGATCAAATACATTTATTAACTGCAGCAGACTGATTTTAAGTGACTATAAATATTGAGCCATAAAAGTCAGAATCGGTTTCAAGAAAATGAAAGTCACCCACAACTAACGTAACAAGCGGAGTGAATTCGAAGCCAAGGTCTCTCTGAATCTCTTTCCGTCGGGACGTCTCCCGCAGTCCCAACGCTGCTTCCTCGGTTCTTCAGGTGTTGTGGATGCCGGAAAGGAGAAAGAAACGGGGACATCTCACAGTCCCTGCTTTTCTTTGGCACTCATGTTCAGGAGACATCAAGTCTGTGTGGACGGGAATTCCCAGCTGTTCCTTAGTCAAGATGTTGATTTTTCATGCAGACCCTCTTTCAACGGGGATGGTCCATTTGACACCTGGCTGAAGCGTTGGCTAGACTTTCATCTCTAGGGAACTGGTTGGTGGCTGGAGTATGTCTTAGTAATGCCATATAGAGGAATCCTGTAACTTTACATGCAATGTCGCCACCTATATTTTACCAGGACAATAATGATCAGCAAATTATGAGTTTTCAAAGGATACCTCACAAGGCATTCATTGAACAAAACTTATCATAGTCCTGAGAAAGGGGGTGAATATAAGGGGTACAAGACTGGCATAAGGACAAAGGACTCAGAGAGTTAGTTGCAGGTGAAAGCCAGCAAACATCTACACGCCAGCTAAATCCGAAGAGTGACCGAGTTGCAGTGATCTGTCGGTTCAAAGTGTCTTTCAGGGTGGGCCTGGGAGGCAGCTCCTGGGGATCTCTGGCTGCCATTCAGAGTCTCTGCCCCCTCTGAGTTCAAAGAGTCGAGAAGATGGGAAATTTCCAGTGGTTTTGGTCAGCTTCCAAGCCCACAGGACGAGCCTCCTGCCACGTAGCGTTTCCCAGGTGTGACCGGCCATTGACCAGTCCTGTGTGTTGCGATGATCCCGCACAGCCCAGCTGATTTCATTAATTGTCAGCGTGGGCCGGAGCCGGCAGCGGGGGGTGGTCGGTAGTGGGGGGCCAGAGGGCCCCTTGGGGGGCGCAGTGAAGGAGGAAGGGGGGCAGATCAGTGACTCTCTGTGTCTCCGTCCCAGGCTGGACCAGGGCTGGATCTTGAGGCAGCTGAAGCTGGTGCAGAGCTGCCCCTGGGCGCATAATGCCAGCGCCCTGGGCCAGTACAGGTACCCTCCACCCCCAATGCCCTGCCCCCCTGCTTCCTCTCCCCCCTACCCCTCTGCCCCCTCCCTCCCCCGATGCTGCCCCAAATACCTCCTTCTCTACCCCTCCATGCCCTCCCCCCATCCCCCCTTGCCTTCTGCCCCCTGCTGCCTCCAAGTACCCCCCCAGCTGCCCCTCACCCCTCTCCCCCACACAGGGAACAGCTGGGAGGCTGCTGTAACGCTTCAGCCGACCTGGTGCTGACCCAGAACAACACCCAGCTGGGCTCCCAGATCGTCTATGACGCACAGCGGGACAAGAAGCATCCAGTGAAGGAGGAGCTGCTGGAGATGCTGCCGCAGGTAGGGGGCGCTGGGCTGTGGGGGCGACGGGGGCTCAGCTCCGGGTAGGGTGGCCAGACAGCAAACGTGAAAAATCGGGACGGGGGTGGGGGGTAATAGGAGCCTATATAAGAAAAAGACCCAAAAATCAGGACTGTCCCTATAAAATCGGGACATCTGGTCACCCTAGCTCCGGGCGCTCCACCCCAGAGCTAGCTGCATCTCAGCACCGGGTGAGGGGTACTTTATAAACAGCCCCCCACGCCCCACCCCAGAGTTGGCTGCATCTCAGCATGGTCGGTGGGTGCTGACCCAGGTCCCCTCCCCCGCAGGTCTCCCCATTTCAGGGTGCCCCCTACGAGTGCTGTGCCGTGGTGGGGAATGGGGGGATCCTTCATAACAGTGGCTGTGGCCCCGAGATCGACCGCGCCCAGTTCGTCATCAGGTAATGCCGGCTGGGGAGGGGGGGATGGGAGCAGGGGGAAATGGGTAGAGAAGCGGGGGCAGTGCGGGTGTAGGGTGGGGGAATGAGGGCATGGGGGCAGAGAGAGTGAGGTGCAGTGTGGGGCTCAGGGAGAGTGGGGTGCAGGGGGAGTTCAGGGTGAGTGGGGTGCAGGGGGGGCTTAGGAGGAGTGGGGTGCAGGAGGGTTCAGGGTGAGTGGAGTGCAGTGGGGGTTCAGGGAGATTGGGGTGCCAAGTGGGGGGGTAGCGGTGCAGGGCAGGGGGTCACCGGTTGAGGCGAGGGGGCCGTGACCCATTTAAAAGGCCAGGGTGGGGGGAGCAGTATCAGGGGAGGGCGGCGTGGG